CAGCTGTGGAGGTGCTGTCCTAACACCCCAGGTACCTTTAGCCATAAAAACAGGTAAAGGGGACACCCCTCAGTTCACATTCAGTTGCAAGTGGCTGATTTTCAGAGTTCCAAGATTAAGGTCAGCCAGATATGTTAAATTGAAATGCACATTGCAAGGGGCATCTCAAAATATTGCAGTTGGCATGATGTGAGGTAAGCTGTCCCTGATGAAGTATCGTATCTAATGACTGATTCTAAAATGGCGAGTACTCCAAATTGAAGTCATCACTAATCTTTTTCTTCACATTCCACTTGGTTCTGATATTAAGAGGAAGCCATTTATTTTAAAAATAAAAACATTAACCAGTTCCTCTTAAGAAAAGAAGGTCCCCCTCCCCCAGTGTCAGAACTGAGCAGTCCTGCCAGCTCGACAGACCCCATTGTTGATGGGTTTCCTTTTGTTCTCCCCCAGCGCACCACTATGACCTGTTTGTTTGAGAAGGGTTGTTTGGTGCTTTGAGACAGGGTCTCAAAATGTGACCCTAGTTGCTCTGGAACTCGCTCTGTAAACCAGACTCACAGAAATCACCTGCCTCTGCCTCGAAATCCTGGAATCAGAAATGTATACCACCACACCTAGTCCACCTTTTAATTTTTTAAGTTAATTTTTGTTAAAATGTAATTATGGAGCAGAAGAGATGGCTTGATCAGAGGTGTAGAACACTTGCTGCTCTTGCAGGAGACCTGGGTTCAATTCCTAGGACCTACATGGTGGTTCACAACTATCCATAACTCTAGTTCTAGATGAATCATGCCCTATTCTTACTTTTGTGGGTGCCAAGCACACATGTGGTACACATACATACATGCAGGCCAAACACTCACATAAAATAAACATGACTAAACCTAATAAATAAAAATATAATTGTTTCCTTCCATTCCTTTTCTTCTTCCAACCTTCCCATTCTCTCTCAAATTCATGGCCTCTTTACAAATATGTATGTATGTATGTATTTATGTGTGTATGCATATGTATGTATATATATATATATGCACATAAATATATAAATACAACCCACTGATTACTTCCACTGTTGCTTGCATGTACATGATTTCAGAGCTGCTATCTTGGTATTGGATAATCAATTAAGGGACTCCTCCCTGGGGAGAGCCTGCTCCCCACACTTAGCTTCCTGTAGTTCTTTGTAGAAGGGCGGGACTCGGTGTTTTCCCCTTCCACATTAGCATGTCTGTGGTGTTATCCTTGTTTAGGCAGCCATCTTGTTGAGGTATCATGGTCTGACTTCCTGGTCATTTCTAGGAGACAATCTCACAGCAGATGGCCTGGTGCTATGGCTCCCATAATCTTTCCACCCCATCTTCTGAAATATTTCCTGCAGGGGTTGTGCTGCAGATGTCCCTACATGACCAGTTGTTCTCTGCACCGTGACCAGTGGTGGTTTTCTGCAGTGGGCTGTATCTGCTGCAAAGACACCTTTGATTAGGGTTACTTTTCTGCAATATACCTTCTTTAAAAAGATACAAAAGAGACAACTTGCTCTAGCCATTGAGAAGGAAATCTCTTACCAAAGTATTTTTGTTTTAGCTTGTAGAGCTGCGTGAATGAAGAGCCCCCTTCTTCCCAACCCAGTCCCAGGGCTGAGGGTTCTGTGGGCAGGAGCAGGAACCCCTGGGCATGTGATGAAATGCAATAATGTTGCTCTTTAGATCACTAGAAATAGGTATGGGAGGGTACACCTGTAATCCCAGCACTTGGGAGGTGCAAGCAGAAAGAGGGGTTCAGGTCATCCTCCACTACATGCCAAGTTCAAGACCAACTGGGCTACATAATAATTCTGTCTCTTGGCTGGAGAGATGGCTCAGTGATTAAGGGCACTGGCAGCTCTTCCAGAGGACCTGGGTTCAATTCCCAGCACCCACATGGCAGCTCACAACTGTCTGTAACTCCAGTTCCAAGGGATCTGACACCCTCACGCACAGAGACAGACATGCAGGTAAAACACCAATTAATACACATCAAATAAAAATAAATAAATCATTAAAAACAATTCATCTCAAAAAAATAAAATTGCTTCCATCTCACTTAAATCAAGGTTCGGGGTACCACTCATGATCGCCTGCCTTTCTTTTCCAGCTGATTTTCCTTAGCAAGTGAATCATGGCTGGGAATCCAGTTGGATGCCCAGTTGGTCCACAAAGGAAGTGTACGCTCATTTCGTCTTCAGCATCCTCATCACCAATGCTGGTGGGCACTTGCTTTTCCATTGTCCCTGAGACAAGTTGTTGAAGGAGGTGCGAGAAATGCTGGGAGCACAGCCCAAGAGCAAGTGGGGATAGCTCAGAGTCTCCGAGGTTCAGGGTGGACTAGCACAGTCAGGCATCAAGTGCCCCCTGCTGCCTGATGTGGAGAAGGGCAGGCCAAATTCACACTTCATGAATAAGAATGGTATTGAGAAAATACAGGGACCGGAAAGCCAGCTTGGTAAGGACAGTCACTGACTGAAGCCCCAGGCACTCTGGGTCACCTGGATCATCCCCAGTGTGGTCATCTGACTGGGTAGCTTTTTAATCAGTAAAAGTTCTACTCTGGAATTGGAGCACTACCTCATTGCTCCCTCTGCAACTATGTGGTCCATAGACCCATAGCATCACATTCACCCTGGAGCTTGTTAGAAATGCAGACCAGCCAGACTCAGTAACTCCTTTCTGTGACCCCAGTACCCAGAAGACTGCAGCAAGTGGGTCACAAGTCCCAGGCCAGCATGGTCAATTTAGAAGATTGCCAGAGACAAACTGAGACAGAGAGAATGGTGTGGAGCTTTTCTGAGTCAGAATCTATCTCACTATATTGCCCTGGTTAACCTCATCTCATGCCAATCCTACTGCTATAGCCTTCTGAGTTCTGGGATTACAGATATGCAACACCATGTCTGGCTTCAAAAATAACTTTTGGAAGGGCTGGTCATAGCTCAGTAGCTAGAATATTTGTCTGGCATATACAGTTCCCTGAGTTCAGCACCATAAAAAAGGACAGGGAACATCAACTCTCAGACCCCAGCCTGGATCTCCTGAATTTAATTCTGCATCTTAACCAGGTCACTGTGAATTCACACACATCGGTATCTGAGAGGCACCAGACATAGCTCTTAATGGAGCTTCAACCCTGAGGAAAGCCCACATTTTGGCCCAGAAGGCTCAATGAGTAAAGGCAACCAAGCCTAATGACCTAAGTTTGATCTCCAGGACCCACATGGTTGATGCAAAGAACAGATTCCCATAAGTTGTTCTCTGCCCTCCACACAGGTGCCATGGGACAGCTCATACATGCACATGCATATCTCTGTGTGTGTGCGCGCACACACAGTCATTGTTTAAAAAAAAAAAAAAAAAAAAAAAAAAAACAAAACCCC